TGTCAGGGCAGCTAGGATCTGGAACCAACTTCCAAGAGGAATGGTGCTGGGTCCTAACCTGGGGGTCTTTAAAAGAAGGCTAGATGAACACCTGGCCGGGTTCATTTGACCCAGTACCGTTTCCTGCCACGACAGGGGGTTGGACTTGATGATCTGCTCAGGTCCCTTCCGACCCTACCAACTATGAAACTATGAAACTACATACAATTAATGCATATATTAATAATGCATTTAATGTAAATTAGTATAGCCTGCCTTATATCACATAATTGGTAACATTAAAAACAAGAAAAATATATGAAGTGGTACATAAGCTTGAAACTTTGAGATAGAAGGGGTACACTTGTTAAAAAAGGTTGAAAACCCCTGGCTTAAACTATAACCCAGACACAAAATTTCACATTAAAATTACCAAAGCAGAATAGAATAATCCTACTTTAGCACCATGCTTGGGTGCTATAAAATAACAAAGAGCAATTCTGGATTAACTAATGAATTTAAAACAAATTCCAAAGAATGGCAATAACAGAGATAACAGCCAGTGACAAGGGCTCTGATTGTGTCTTACACCTAAAAAATTCCTCTCCCCTTAGCAAGGATCTTACCAACACCCCGACCAGCACTTATGCTTTGGTGAAGAAGAATGTCATGCATTAAGAATTCCATGGTTTTGCAAAATAAAATGTCTGCCATCCCTACAGGAATGGAATACCTGCTATTGTCAACTACTCTAATCACTCTTAAAGCCAGACAACTATACAGTAAAAAGCCAAAACAGTCTTGTTAACTTAAGACAGTAAAACATAAGGAAAAAGTTTTTAGCTTTGAAGATATACGTAAAACAGTAAACAAAAACATCTTACTGTTCCCTTCTAACCAGAAGCAGTTTCCCACTGATCCCTCCATTTCAAACAGCTAGAAATCTCAGGTGATCCTCCAGCTCTCTTGTTTAGTTCCTTGCTTCACCTAGATTTGAGGTACCTTTTCTTTTGCTCCCCCCCCCCCGGAACTTCTCTTTAAATCTCTCATTATCTTTTTCTTTATTTTAATTCCTTTGGGACATACCATATTTTCTCACATACAACACACACCATTCCACCCC